AAATCAAATATACAAATACAAAAACAGGAGAAAAAGCAAGTAGTTCTTTATGGGAAAATAAAAACAAAATAATTACTATTGAAGAATGGTGGAAGCATTCTCCACAGTAGATTGTATCTTTTAAAATCAATTTCCAAAGTTAAATCTTTGGTACGTCTTGTAAAGACTTTTCTGAGAGAAGTTGATTAAGTAGACAAATGATTTCACTACACCTAAGGTAGTTTAATATATTTACAATTTAAAAACACTTCATATGTTACATGTATTCAGACTACTTGGTTCTTCCTTAAATACTTAAACCCTTGGAAACAAGAAGAGAATGCAATGATTAAACTGTGTGCTCTATTCATTCTGTTGAGCAGTAAACTATGGACAGATAAGTGAGGAATCTGCTACTCCACTAAAGTTATTCATATTTTAAACAAAAGATTTCAAAATTCTCTCTGTTGACAGGGGAAAACATAATGGAGACTGCCAATTTGTATAATCATGGCTGTAAACCTAACTGGTTCAGTTATATGATGGAAGAACCAATATAGTGATCAATCCGTCCATCCATAAATAAGAAAAAAAGAAACTGCTTCATGCTGATATAACTGAATTTTTTAATGAAGAAGTGGAGCATGAGAAGGATCAGTTAGAAGATGGAGCTTGCAGGTAAAAGGCTTATGCACATCTTGGCTTATTAAATCAAGATGCTGTACAATCCAAGGTCCACCTGATTCATGTGATATTCTTAGATCAAGATGCTGTGCTGCAGGAGAAAAATCTCAGACATTTTTGAAAATGTATCTGAAGCAGAATTAGCATAAAATTGGTCCCCGGTTATGAAAGAGAATGTATTTTAAAAACGTCTTTCTCCTTTCTCCATGCGGTCAAATTAATATTTAGGTTTTGCTTCTTTTCTGTTATACCTTAAGTTGGTATTGCAATATCCATTGTCTTAATCCGCCAACATGAAATCTTGGTACTTGAGTTTGTCTACAGCAAAGAAAAGATTGAATAAGGTTGTGTAGCTGTGCAGTTTATTAAGTAAATAAAATCTCACTTTCAAATGTATGTAAAATTAATTTGAAAAACAGGATTCTAGCTCTTAGCATAACTTGTCTCCAAATTTCTTCTGTGATTGTAAGCGGGCCTTTCATACTTGACAAGAGAGTTATTTACATATTCTGAATATGTCTGGTTCATTTTTTGTTTTATCGCAAGTAGCAGTGATGTTATCCTTGCATAGTTGAACGTATTGCATATTCTGCCATCTGATAAATAATATACATTGCCTAACATTACAGTTAAAATCCTAAAATAGATCAAATTGTGTTTATGGGAAAAAACCTAAGTATAATAAACACAGTACTAAATGTGTATATTTTCTTGTGCTATCTTAAAAGGAGAATCATGTAGCTCTTATCTTTCTTGCTTTCTCTCTTTATGCTGAATTGCATGCCGTGACCATGTACAAAAATATATTAGCTCTCCTGACATTTGAATACCAAATAATTAATTTTGTACTTCAAACTGTGGCTTCTGTCGTTTTGAAAGGATCCATGTGAGCTGTGTTTATAGCGCCATGTAGTTATCCTATCATTTCTAGGATTTGCTTGGCAAGCACCTGCTCCTAACTGCCTTGAAATTTTTTGGGAAGAATGGGTTATAGTTCGGCACAACTTGTTCAGAAGGTCGTTGATGTTATTAATAATGAAACATTATTAACAGTTACCTTCCAGTATACTTGATAGTGGCCTGTAGAATTCTTTTTTTCCTGTATGTTATCTTGAAAAATAACACCATTCTATTGCTCAAAATGCTTATCGAATTATTCATTGGTTCATTTATGTTTATGTGAGCCCTTTCATATGAATGAAGCCAGCTGGGTGACTTTGGGCCATTCATTCTCTCTCAGCCCTAGAAAGGAGGCAGTGACAAACCACTTCCAAAAACATTGCTAAGAAAACTGCAGGCAGTTATCCACACACACAATTTTAAAATAATGTATACCCCATACCCTTTCTCAACTGTCTAATCAATTTTAAAATTAACTTCCATTTATTTGCTTCAGATCAGTTAATCTGCATGTGTACAGTGCCAACATATGCACCCACATAGGCACATGCAAAGCATAGCCAAAGCCATGGTTTGTACACTGCCTGTTAACTTCCTCCATTCCACTCCATCATTGTTATGTGTAAACAGAGTATTCAGAGCAGCAACATGAAACTTTAGAACAGTTATGGGACCTAAGACTCCAAGGTTGTCTGTGGCCTTCATTTTTAAAATTTTGATTGCTTATTCTGTTTCTTCCAACAAATGGGACAAATTCAGTGTTGTTAAACCTTCCTTCCAGGAGTGAAGATGGCAAAAGTTTAGATGAAGCAAGTATAAGGGCATTTTGGGAGTCAGACAAAGAATACTTGGCATGGGAAAAGGGTCTTCTAAACTGATCCACCATGTTTAGAGTGGCGAATTATAGATAGTGAATATCATTTTTAGGAACCCATTGCTCCTGCTTCAAGCAAGCTTTCTTGAGCCAATCATAAAATCATAAAATTTTAAGTTTAGATCAGTATCTCCTTCCCTTAAAATCATCCTTTAAGGCTAAGGAAGCCAAAGACTTGCCAATAGCTACTAATTTGAGCCAAAATTTCAGGCCGCAAAGCCATATCTGAGTCTCTACATAACTTAGACAATTTTTCAGTCTGGTAGAGAATAGAATTGGGGAATTTGCATCAGGGTTCTTAAGGATTTGAATTGGAAACCTTCAGTAGAACTTAGAACAGTGTGTAACAGATGATGACTTTAGCTCTAAATATTCTGTTGCAGCTAGGACATAATTATTGTGACTGTGATTGCATACAATAGGATAGTCTGGGCAGTGACTGCCCTTTGTTGTTCTTTTGGCCTCCAGAAGATTTTGGTGCAGACTTCAGGGTCCATCCCTGAAGTTGCTAAAAACAGAAAACTAAGGATAATATTTAATTGTTATACCGTTAATTGACTTTTAGTTTAAATTTAATCAATTTTGCTTTTAGTCCTGGTGCCATGTGGGGTTTTTTTAGGGGGGGTATTTTTATTGTTAGTTACCTTGAATGTCTTCTGAGTAGGTTAATGTAAATTGAATACAGGAAGCAATAATTGTCTTACTGTTACTTCTGAGAATCTTACTCCTGCTGCTACCAGTACTCTTATTGTTACTAATACTACTGTTGAGAGTAATACTGCTGATAGTAGCACTACTGATACCACTATTGTTTCCACTAATAGTATTTATTTATTTCCAATCTTTATAGTACTGCCACAGTTGCATATCTCTAGGCAATTTACAAATTCAGTAATTAAAATAACACGTTTTATAATGAAAAAACAACATGTTTTAAAAAGTAGAATTTAAAATAGCCAGTTGCTGATTGAAGCATTGATGTTAGTCTCTTTTGGAGCCCACATTCTTCACCTTCTATATGAAGAAAACCCAAATTGTCCCCCTCAAGAAAGATGGACAGGATGGCCAGAGTCAGCTTGAGGAGATGGTCTTATAGATATCTGTGGCCCTTACCCTGCTGGGAGTTACAGGTTAAACCCAGCACCTTGAATTGTACTGGAAATGTATTCAAAGCCAATGAAGTGTTTTCATAATAGGTGTTAGATTTCCGAATTGGCTTGAATTGCAGTTTCCAGGCCAGCCCAGATAGAATGTATTTCGTTTATCTGACCCGAAAGTAATGAGGGCATGAGTGACTGGTCCCACACCCTCCCACTCCAAATTTGGCTGCAACTGCCAAAGCTGAGCAAAAATGAAGACCACGGCTTCAGTTTGCTGATCTAGGTGGAACTGAGACTCAAGAAGCACCCCCAAATTGCAAATCTGCTCTTTGGGGGAAAATGTAACCCCTCTAGAGCCAGTGGAGCTGCAGTCCCACTATCCAAGTCCTGATGGAGATCACCCACCAAGAGTGATCAGTGCTGTTTCAGTCCCACAGCTGAGTCTGAATACTAAATACTGAAAGGGATCCAAACAATCAGTTCCATCCAAAATCCTTTGTAGCTGAAGTCTCAGCAATTGTCCCAGAATCTTAATGATATTGTTATCCTTGGCCTAAAAAAAGGGGTATATTGTTTTGGATCCATCCAGGCTTTATAGGCTACCTTTAATTTGGTCTTGAAAATAAACAACTGCTGAAATATAGACACAAGTTACTTTCAATGGCTGTTATGGGAAAAAATGCATTCTGTGCCATTTGCGGTTTCCGTATCTTTAAAGGCAGTCCCAGAATACCTCTCCCAGCATTTCCTTTTGAGCTTGATCTCTCTCTTTGCAGAAAAGATCAGCACTCTGAGCAAGAGAAGCCAAATGCATATTATAATCAATAGTACCTAAATTGTCTACTGATCCAGATGAACTAGCAGGTTTGCATTCTTTCTAAAATCTAAAATAAAATAAAATTTTAAAAAATCATATCCTCCAAAGATCCATTAACTACCTTTCAAGACCACTTTTGAGAACAGTTTCTGTGTGAATGGTAGAGTGTGAATGCTTATGGAAATGAATCTTACATTTCCTTGTTTTAAAGTGTTTATTGTTCCTTGTTTGGTTATGTTTAAAATGTATTTAATTTGTTTTAATAATATCTAACCATGTTTTTGAGATTGTGTTCAGATATCCTGGATGAACGTTTGCCTAGTTTCATTTTATATTTTTGGAACTCATTTATTCATTTAAGAAAGTCAGTCCTGTCTTTCCACTCCAGAAAAGCAGAGTTGATTATATAAGAATTTTAGAACAATAATATTTAAAAACACTGACATCACTATTACAGACAAAAAACCAAATCAAGCAGGCAATAAATAAAATTAAGTCACAGCAAAGGTAAATATAAAACTTTTTTATCAAGACAAATTCACAACATTGAGCTAAGCAAAACTAGCTGATTTTTAAATTGTGTAGTTTTCAGTATCATTTGTTGATTACTATTATTATAATGATAATTATTATTGCTTCATTCCAGGATATCTTGTACTATGAACAACTGAAGTCTAATGTGATCCAGCATGATCTTTTGGTGGACAGTCTGATTTATAAAGTGAGTAATTTTGATTTGCATATTTCTGTTGTCAGTAATTAATGCAGTACTCAGCCTTTAAGTTTTATATACGGAAAAGGAATGTCAGGAGTGTTTGTTCTGAAATTAAGCCCTGTGCTTAATTAGCGGTCCTTTTATAATGGTTTACTTTAGTAATTGTCTTCTGCCTGCAAAATAGCAGGTAACACACCAACCCAAGGGCCTTGAATTTCTGGGTAATAGGAAAGAGTGGAATTCTCTGTGGTTCTGCTACAATCACCATGATATACCTTTTGAATGTGGTTTTAATGTAGCAGTACTAACAGATGAACCAGAATCAACATGACTCATGCAAAAGGAAATCTCATTCTCCATCTGTTTAGATTCCTTTGGAATGTGAAATATCTCAGTCTGGCCAATTATAATCTTGGGCTTTCAAAAATTTGATCAGAATCCATTACATTTCCTAAATAATTTTTTTTTAAAACTCTTATTTTGGACTGCTAACTAGTTAAATAGTAAAAAGCAGGAATAAATGGACATTTGAAGAATGTCAGTAGTTGGATCCCACAATGTTTTGCACTGGGACTTTTTAAGACATAGTCATCAATGTTCTGGAACTGGGGATCAATAATAAGGTGACTTAGTTTGTGGAATACATTGGATTGTTTAGGCTGTTATGCTTTTTTACTTTTTGGGGACTCCAGATTAATATTTTGAAACTGGCAAATAATGTAAATGTGTTAATGCTTCCTTATTCTCTAAAAGCGTTTATAGAGTGGAAATAGTGCAAAAAGGAGAATAAAACTGATCATGGAGCTGAGATGGTCCTCTGTAAGGACAGTTTAGGCATGAAAAAATATTTATTTTTTTGTTTGCTTGTTTATTATATGGCTGTCCATCTTGTAAAACACAACTCTAGGTGGCTCACAGGATGTCTTTTTGTTCTTCTCTTGTCCTTCTGGGCAGAGAAGGACCCAGTCCTCATACCAGATCAGTAGTACTCTCTATGGTGTCACCATACCCAACATACTGCCTGATAGAAACCCACTGCAATCCCTTTGCAAAAATCCTGATCCAGATCTCTGTCAGCCTCCTATAAGAGAACAAGTATAGCTATACCAAGGCATTCCAAAAAGTGCATTCTTGTGCACATTCTAAATTTGTTGTTTGCAGTCTATGGTTGCCTTGTTTGTTTGTTTGTTTGATTGATTTTTACACTGCCCAACCCCAGCTGAGTCTGGGTAACTTATCAATTTATTTGATTTTGATGAGTGTTGTAGAAGAATGAGTCTCAACTCTCCTTTTAGTTGCAGGAGACTATTTTTGGCCCTATAGCATCTTGTTGAATGTTATGTTCGGATAGACTGCACATGGTCTGAATCCGTCTCTAACTGTGGTGATACATCCTCATGGAGATTCTGTATTAATGTATGGATTCTGTATTCTGTATTAGTGTATGCTCAGTGTGCTTTTCCTAGTAGCTTAAATGAACTAAAGATTTGTACATTTAGATAAGTCATTCTTATTACATGCCCCTGTTATTTTGTAGTCTGATTATGAGCCGTCAAGTCATTGTCAACTGCATAGATAGATTTTCTCCATGATGATCTGTCCCTAACCTAGTCTTTCAGGTCTTCCAATAGTGCATCCATCGGCATTGTAACTCAGTCCAACTACCTTACTGCTGATCATCCTTTTCTTCTCTTTCCTTCTACCTTTCCCAGCATTAGAGCCTTCTCCAGAGAGCTGGGTCTTCACATAATGTGTCTGCAGTAGGATAATTTGAGCCTAGGCATTTGTGCCTCAAGTGAGAGTCTAGGTTGATTTGTTCAATGGTCCATTTTTTGTTTTCTTGAAATTCTTTTATGAATTCTCCATGTATTGGTATGATAGGAAGGACGTATCAGCCCTTCAAGGCATGCCAGGTCCGAAAACAGACACCACAAGAGCTACTTTATTGTTATAGTGTATAGTAACAGAATCTTGCCAGAGTTTCTTTCTGCCCCTCTTACACCATACAGAATTAAGGCAATATTATTTTGAGCCTCTTTCTCATGCTTCCTCCTTTCCCAGGACTATGTTGTCGTTTACGTTCTCTTATTATCTCTTAACAGTTATGCTAATGAATTTCTTCATCAATTCTACTTCTGTGTTCCTCTACAATATGGAACTGCATCCTTAGTGGCTTCTTAGCTATCAGGCTCTTTTCTTTGGATGGCAGAGAATGGCCATCGGCTTGACTATGCAAGATCTATTTTTGGATTCAACTAAATATGACTTAGCTGTGGATAAGCAGAAAGTAGCTTTTGTTTATGTTGTGTGGCCGAGGTCCAAAAAGCTTAGAAGCTTGTGCTTGCCCAGTAAATTTTTGGGGTTAGGAAAGTTCAAGCACAACAGGTAATAAGTATTCAAAATTCCCTCAGCATTCTGTGAATATAGCAGAACTCTTGCTACAGTAATCATAATTTGTGCCTGCAACTGATTTTTCTGGAGTAGAAATTTGGAAGCTATCCTGAGTCTGCGATAGGTGGGCAATACAATTTCAGTGTTGTTATTGCTAAGATAATTGTTCCACTCCCACTAAAAACAGAAAGAAGGTGATATAAGGCAAAACTTGCAGTGATAAAAACTAATTAGAAGTGATATAATCAAATCAAGCGTGAGTATATCTGTGCCCAGGTTTCTTTCATTATAGAACAATTATACTAATAGAATTTTTCATTGTGTTTGAAAATTAGAAGTTGACAAGAGATTGAGTTTGATATATGAAAAGAGCAGTCATTAATGCTGTAGCATTACAGTGGTAATGTATCTTGTTATACTTTGTACACTGTGGGATATGCTCAGATGGAAAAGATGTTGCTCAGGTTCAGACAGTTATGGTTTTTGATTTCAGGATGTGAAACTGACAGCCAGCAATGATGACTACTACTTTGTGTTTGAGGATTATTTATATCAGGTAAGTAATTACAGGTATAGCAATAATTCAGCACTGGAAGAAGGGACATATAATGTAGGGTATAGTTCATTCTGTGTACTTTGTAAGCCAGATAAAACTTGTAATGCAACACAGCTGTTCTAAGGAGGTTAAGAGTGCACTGCTGTGTATCTACTCAAGAGTAAATTCCATTATATTCTATGAAGCTTACTTTCAAGTAATTCTGTATAGAATTGGGTTACCGCTCCAAGTGACTGTATTTATTAATCATTGTCTAATAAGAAATCATTCAGTAATGCCTGCGGATTGTTAATGTTAACCATAGACAGCTCTGAGTCAACAAAGCTAAAGATAATATATCTACTGGATAAGTTCACAGCTTTCTTCAAACTGCTGTTGAATCCCTTGAAAAATTCCTATAAAATGTGCCAGCTTATGCAGTTTGGTTGATTGATTTTACCAGGTAAGCCCTGAATTATAGAGATCTAGGACTGTGCAACTGGGTCAAAAATAGAGACCAGCAAAAGCTGCCCTTTGAGATGGTAGACATTTCTGTGCTATTTCTTAATTTCTACTGGGTATTGCAGTAAGTATGTAGACTGTTTAGCATATTTTAATAGCGTAAGGTTTCCCCATTGTTCATAATAGTGTGTGCATATCATGCATATATCTATGCGTATCAAGCATTATATACCCTTTGGACTTCTGTGGAATTTTAATTCATACCATCGGTTTCGAAAATGCTATTTATCAGTAGGCAAGGAAAAAGTTTACTTAGGGTATTTGATTTATGTATATTGATATTCATCCCTTATTGGGTAGGACAACCATGTCATTTTGGGTGTCAACATGATGCTGAAGTATGATGGGCTGGTGGGAAGAATAAGGAGAAATGTTTAAAGATTCCCCCCTCCCCAAAAAAACCCTCCTCCAGAGTGTTCAAGTCAGTGGAAAAACAAAAACAAGTTGGCAGTGCTAAAACTAGTTCAAAGCCAAATTCCAGAGGAAACCACAGGGGTGAATTTCAACTGATTCAGGAGGGTTCTGGGAGAGGCCCAGTTGTGTGGGGGCACATCTCTCAAGGTAGCTGCTGGCTAAATTTTTGTGAATGCGACATAATAGAAAAGGAAGGAGGGGCATCCAGATCTTGGGGGGGAGGGACCTCATTCGGAGGGCAGGTGCTGGTACAGAGAAGGCATG